GAAAAACAACAATGCTTGAAGCGTCGAAGCTACTTGTGGAGCTCTTTCCAAACTTCTTTTGGTATAACGCCTAAGACGTTGGTGTCTACAGCTTTTTTTTCGCAGACTCAGTTTCTTTAGTAATCTAAGGTGAAAAGATTGGTTAATAATGTTTGACTGTTAAAAAATGGCCCGTTTGCTGAAGCTTATTCTTTTTTCATAACTGTAAGGTTCACGTAGCGCAGACCATGGAGAGGATTGGTGATTCCTGGTTGAATGCCTAGAGTCAAGAATATTATTTAGAGTCACCAGTCACCAGGCTTTCCAACCTTGCAACGAACAACTCCACTCGTTAAGTCTGCTAGTGAATGACTGACTTGGTTTCATAGTGGCCAGCTTTATACAGTCTTTTAGTCGATAAATCAATGCTAAAAATAGTAGTTTAAATATATTTGTTGGCTAGGTAGTTTAATTTGGGGTGTCCCTTAAAAATAGCGATAATTTGAAGGTTAAGTAGGATACGTAAATACTCATAATGGCCCTAAAAATAGCCAGTGTTGGAATTTTAAGACATACCTTATTATTATTCTTAATAGTGGAGAGCTTGCTGCGGGTAGCGTGACTTTTTTCCTTGCAGTCTCTGTGTACGGAGATCTTGCTGGAGGGAGGTACGTTGCTGACTAAAGAATATATCGTCTTGAAACCCTTTCCCGGATAACCAACTACTCATCTTTAGTCAGGAAAGTGGGCCTAAAGAATATTTTTTTTGTTGGTATGCCTTTAAACGATCACTGAGGCGGAGGTCGTTGTGGTTGCCTGAGTTCCTTAGATTTTTTTCACTGACTTGCAGTTGTAGCAAAATATGCTCTGGTATCCCCAGGACGGTTGAAAGAATAGCCATTAAACTTCAAAATACTAGAGCAGATTGGGCTCTGGCTAGACACGTCTCTGGGTATTCCAGTGGAAACGTCAGCATTTACAACATTTTTTTATTTGTGGTACTCGTCAATCTTCTGGTTAAAGATGAAGTTCAACATATGTTGCTTGTCCATTAGAGAACATTATCACGTATGTGTGGGGGTGTATTGCTAACACCCATTTACAAACTTTTTTCCTCACATCCTACCTAAATTCATGGGCACAGTGCGAGTATCTCCGGTGGAACACCTTGCGAGTTAAGCTGACACTCTGCACCAAAGGTGCATCGGATCCACTCGCCACTGTGTAGCCTTTCCTCGGAGAAGACTCCATATCCCAGGACGTCCACTCCTCGCTGGTTAAGCCAGCGCTCTCTGTCAAAACATCGGATCCAGGCTAATTAGCATCCCCAGAGAAGTCCCATATTTCAGGGACCGCTTCTCGCCGGTAAGGCCGGCGATCTCTGCCCAACGCCTGGCATCGGGTCCACTAATCCCTACCTATAGCCCTAACACTGTTTCGCATTCACCCAGATCCGAAAACCTGTGGGGCAAGAAAAATTCCTGGAATTACTCTAATGGAAGATTCCTGGATTCTACTCAACTGTGATGAAAAGCTATCGTATTTTTTTAAAACCTTCAAGTAATTTTATTGCTATTGTTATTGATTTTCTTAAGACAAAAACTATTCTCAAATCATCTCGGAAGTGTCAAGAATCAGTATGCAAGATCGGTTATGTAGTTTTCATGGTTAGCGATTACAACGGTTTGAGCGATTTTGTTTTATATGTAAGTAAGACTTCTTGCAAACACAATATTATTGTATAAATGAGAAATACAAACTAGTTGTAGAAGGTTTGTATGATAGAAATAATATTGTCCTTTCAAAAAATGTGGTATTGGAAAAATTGACACAAGTATTATTGCTGTAGTGTGATACACCGACAAAACTAATATTTATTGGCACTATTCATTCCTTACTAAACTAAATTTGGAAAAAATCAGTTTAGTTATTATGTCAAAGGCGACTTAAATATTTTTCAACCCGTTTTTGATAATTGAAACGAGTTTATAAGCCGTGGTAAGCATGTGGTATACAACATACCCGCAGAAATAGCGGCATTATTATTATTCGCTACGTGCACAAGCTGAAAAAGCGATCGCAGCAATACTTGTGCTATTATGTGAAACTAAACGATATGTTTGTCTTCTGCTAGCAGACTGCTAAGCATTACTATCATTAGAAAGTTATGTGTTTATACATCGACAACCATTCTAAGGGTTAAATTTTTAATGAAATTATGAGTAGTATGTACATATTTTACTCAGGCATGTTCATCAAAAAACGCAATGAAATACATTGGATACTGTGTATTTCTTAGAGTTTTTAGCTGGGGCCTGATCCTCTAAGCATACCGTATGAACGTGTGTACATACTATGGAAACACGCCGGTATTGGGCTAACGGAGCTCTCTGATTGGTCAGAGGAGGTCTGTATTAACTACATTGCAAACTAATAAAACGAATCACGTATCACATAGGACACGGACTTGTGTTGAAGTAACACTCAAGCGCTTATAGTGGTTGTAGTACAAATTTTGTCTTTAGTTATTCACATAGGATTGTACCACTTGAGACATTGTATTAGCTTGTGATATAATAAACACAGAACCTTTCGTGTATCTATCAAGGTACTGTGTTCCTGTAGGTATTAAGCACATATCGCGAATATTGCCTTCTGCTGTGCCAGACCAATAGTTCTTGTTTTTCCCTTGGTGGTGCTGCTTCAAAATTGTGCTCGTAGCGAATATGCAAAAAATCATGTGAAACACACTTCATACAGCAACTGATCATTTAAAGCAAAACATGCAGTGCCCAAGACGCCTGTAGAAACAACGGCATTATTGTGCCGATATATTCTCAGTTTGCAATGACAGTAAGAAAATTTTGCAGGTGCAAAAAATGCAATACACATCTGTGATTTTTGTTCTGAAGTGTTTCAGGACTAGATGTAAAGTATTTAACTGAAAACGTTTTAAATAACGTGTCAGTACACTCTGGTGTTTCATTTAGTAGGTCTCAGGCGAAATCGTATATTTGTCATGAATATTCAACTCTTTCTAGAATTAATGCGTACTTGCTTACTACAAAGACCGCAGGAACGTTACGAGTGCTAACTTAGCAATGTTACTAAAAAATTATGTAATCAATTGTTGATAATTAGTTACTTTATCACAAATTTTATTTTGGATACTGAAATTAAGATGTTAACGTTTAAAGTGCCTGAAGTTCAGGGTAAGCACCATAGGACACTGATGTATTCGAGATATAAAAGTTTTCATGCGTTACTTAAAATTTAATCTTTAGTAAGTTACCTATCTTCGCACTGTTACGTCTTGTCTGGCTTCATTTAAGTGCTGTAGTTATACACATACATCAACATGACTTTAAGTTGCCATTAATATTTTATTATATGTATTTTTGATTCTTCGTGGGACGATCTAACTATGAAAGAGTCATCTACCAGCCCCCCCCCCCTTTTTGAGGCATTGTTGTTCCTTACTATTATCTGCAAATCTTCATGCCACGATAAATAGTAGTATACCAATTTCTTACTCCTATGATATCTTAGTGTTTAGGTTATACAAAAAGCACCACCGAGTTACGTGGGAGAAAGTGGTGTAGCGAAGTCACGAGCCCTTAAGTCCTCAAGGAAGGAAGCAAGCGCTCTACCACCTTAGCCACTGAGAACTCCTAACGCTGTATGTTATCTACTATGAAATTAAGAAATACCTGTAGCCAAAATTATACTGTTGGAAGTTCTACTTAATTTTGTGAGCACACCTATCCTAATTATATACAGGGAAGACTTAACTTGCAGCTAACTTAACGATAATAATGATAAAACCATATTTCATTAAGGCTGAGCCATAATAAATTTGGGAAATGAATTTGAGCATTTTAAGTTAAACAGGTCTCGTTATTGTTGTTCTTACAAATTTCTGGCCTGTATTTGGCAGTTAAGCCGTGAAATAGTAATAAAGAGACTGAATTAAACTAAAATACACCAGACATATTGGCCAAAATACTTATTTTTCGGTATTTGAAAACTTGAGAATGCAAATCTAAAGTAAACAGTAGCGTAATCACCAAGGCTATGTCTTCTGTCTGAAACTTACCTCGTCATGCTTCCAAGCAACTTGATAAAAGTAAATGTTATCATATTGTGTTAAAAAAACAAGTTCTTTTTTCTTGACAAGGTACTAAAAATAACGTATACGTCGCTACTGAAGCAGACATAACTAAATGCTGCATGTACCTATGTATAAAGTACCATTAAACGTTGCCCGTGACATTGTTGCATAGTCAATCTAACCTCTCAACCTTTGTTATTGTTATTAGTAAAAAAATGGTTTCATGATTAAGATCATACAATAATAATGTAACCTTACTATACTGTCCACTGTACAAATAAAGAAGATGAAAGGAAAATTTGTGAAAAAAAATAATTAAGGCTACTATTTATAAAGAATTATTAAGAGATATAGAAATAATTACTGATAAACGTTTTGTTGTCATTACCGTATGCACTTCCACAAACATTATAATCATGAAATTATCTCACTGATGCAATAACTGATATTCCTACCATATCAATCAGTGCACCATTCAAAATTGGCACGCGCATGCCAGGCGTCGACTCCTTTTTATGGTAGAGATCCGGCTCCTACCAACCGTGAGATTGTTACTTTCATGATGAAATATTATGTAATTTTTTCATGATTAGTTCCAATTATTTTTATGCTATTAGAAAGATTAAGATTTGTTGTAGTGCTATGAACTTTTCTATTCCAATCTTGTGTCAACTTAAAACGATATTGCATTTTATTAAAAAATAGCAAAGTAGAATTCCTTTTCAGAGTTCATGTTAAAAGTGGCCTCTATGATTGACTTGTTTTCGAAAATTTACGTTATAAAGGGGTGTAATGTTTTAAGAGGAGATACCTGGCATGTTTAATAACAATCTCTCTAAGTTTTATTTAAAGTTAAAATAAATAAGCTACTTAAAGAACCACCTTAATAACTAAGAAACAGAAAAAATACCTTTTGATGACGCCTTTGAACAGAGCAATCGCGTTCATAAAGATGAACCACATTTCTAGCATGGTCACCAAGTAGTTGTACTTCAATATGTCGTGGTCTTTCAATAAATTTCTCAATGAACATTGCTCCATTGCCAAATGCAGCTTTTGCCTCTGAAGATGCCCGATCAAACATTTCTCGAACTTCTTCCATACGTCTTACAACTCGCATTCCTTAAAATAAAGTATACTTGTCTAAGAAATGTGTTTAATTAATTATATCAAAATCATATATAATAATTTAAATTTCTGTATAATTTTAATGATTCTGCCTTTCAAAGCAAGTATGTTTTCTTTTAATTTATTTAATAAGAAAATTGTTGTTCGAAACGTTAACTTTTTTTTGCTCAATTATAACATTAATGCTGTTGTCTTTAAGAATAGTCATCCGACTATTCGGAAATCGATGGATTAGACACACAAGATCGAGAAAAAATTACAAACAATACTTACATGACACCATTAAGTGCGACAGAAAAAAAGCTTAACTAAAAATTGTTTTCATTAACATATTAACTATTTCTTCGAAACTTAGCTATTAATTTAAAATAACATAAGCTCAATAATTTCTTGCAGCGTTCCAATCTTTTTTTCCGCATGATGTTCTGGAGTTTCATACTTAAAAGTTTAAACATTACCTACACTGTGATAATTGGTACCCTTGTAAAAGATAGTTAAAAAACTTTTGACCCTTTTTCTATCTAATGTAAGAACGTTTAATTTATACTGTCCAGTTTAAAGTAAGTGTGCCGTAAAATTTATTGTTTTTTTCAATTGCTATGTGAAATAACTGGAAAATTTAAATGACTGTTATTTATTCTAAATGACTTGCTTAACTTTCATACAAAACGTTACTTTGAAAACAATGAAAACGATTCTCTAGAGACTGTAATACGTTTATACATTAATATTTTAAACAAGAGTAATCCTTTGTAATCTGTTTAAGGACTGTTATCTGCAAAGACTAAATGTACTATTCTTATCTTATCTAATATTACTCAAAACTAAGTCTTCTCGAATATTCGCATAGAAGTTTATATAAATACCATCCTCTGCAACAACTTTATATTATTCAAGTAAGCAACACTGCTAAGCAAAACGCTTCACTCAGTCAGCAAATGTACAAACACCAATTGATTATAAGCAAATGCTACTTTTTATTGGAACTCTCAAATATCTCGTTTATCCTTTTGCAAAATCTGCTTTCGACGTAGTCTGGGCTTAGCTTGCAACGAAAACGGCCCTTCCACGGACATACACCGTGAAATGGAAGACTTCTTTGTTAGACTTAAATATCAAGAGCAATCAGTTGAACACTAGGTCTATCACCACCTTTTAAACTAGTAAGAAATGTAGGCAACGATCGTCAAGACGTATTTTTTACCTCACAGATCGCATCAACGTGGTAATGATATCACAGTGTGAAAATAAACTATATTATCAAACTATAAATTTAAGAAAAGTAACAATTATAATAGTACTACTTCAAAAGAGCAAGTTTTATGCATGCTAAGCTAACTCAATGTTAACTCAGATTTGACATGCACTCTATGACCCAATAGTAGTACGCTGTGATGTAACAATTAACCAATCACATGCACAGCAAACAGCAGCTTGAACAGTAAGTATAGACAGCCTGACAGTTGAGGTTGGAACTTCCCCAGTCATTTCTGGTCATTGAGCTACTCATGCTTGTCTGTGAGATCATACACATACTCACATAGATATTTAAGAGTAATTTATGAAGCTCACGAGGTTATTGAAATCGCGTACTGTAAATTTATTCTTATTTATTACATTAAGAAACTTTCATTGTAGTTCATTACTTTTATATCAATTAATTATTTTCTGTATCTTTAGCAGTATACTAAAGTAGTTATAAACTTTGCATTAATAACAGGTTCATATTTATAATACAAAGTTTAAAATTTTCAATTAATTAGTCTTCAGTATATGTGCCTTTTTTCTTTGCAATGTACGCTCTCAAAATCTAGCACATATTGCATTTTTTTCTATAATGCCATTTTGTAGGTCAAAAAAATTAAGATCCAACTGCCAATAATGAAATGAATTCTAAATTACGCATGCGATACAATCATTAGTTGTAGATTTATACAAAAATGAATATCAACAAGTGTGTAATTTTTGGTATCGTATTAGAATTTATAAAATGCTAGAGTGTAAACAAATTGTAAGAGTTACTCATTATTCAGTATATTTGATAACAGTTATAACAAACTGCAACTGCACTTATTTATTTTGTCTCCTATCTACAACTTCCATAAGCTTCTGATTTCAAGACTAGTAAATCAACACAATGGTGGACGTTATAATAGAATGCTTTTCCTTCTCATCTGAGACGATGGATTGAAAAATGACAGTGGTTTAGGTAAAGATAATGAAATTAGTGGAAAGGCAAGAAATTTTTTGATTTTCGCAAGACCAACAAACAAAGACTTAATACCCACAACTTTTAGAAGACTTAATTATAAAGAGAGTCTTTAAAAGTCTGAGAAAACGCAAAAAAGTTTTTAAAAAATTAATATAATTTGAAAGAAAGATGAACTGAAAAAAATGTATCTAGATAAAAAAGGTACTGCTTTTTCCCATAACTATTGTCTAGAGGCAATTCAGACTGATTCATCTAGTTTTTTGCAAAATGCTGAAATTTCGTTACATGAAAAACAGTCCATTTCGTTTCGAAAAATATGGGGTGAGAAAAACTTAATGTGAAGATTTTTAGATGAAGGAAAAAATTAAAACTATAGACTTACTTTTCTTGCATCTTACAACAAAGGGCCTTAGAGCCAGAAAAAAGAAAAAAAAACAATTGAAGAGGCCCTTAAGGGAGTACACGACAAGCCTGAAAGAATATACGTGTGACACTGCCTTGTAAAAGCGATACTTTGAATGAAGGTCCTTAACGTAAGAATTGTTAATTATTCTCACAACGCACCCCCTTACCAATTTTTTTCCCATGTAGTAGTTTTGACACTAAGTGTGGGGTACGGTAAGAGTTGAAATTTTCTTTTTTTTGTTGCTTTTTTTATGATGTTATAAGTTTTAATAAATCATAATTTTATTTTTAATCAATGTTGAATCCTTTCTTAATGCTACTCATTTTACCTAATGCCCTATTTAAAATATCTGCTTTGTTATCTTCTAAGTTTCATGAAACTGCATTTATTATAACGTTTCCTCTATTTACATTTAATAGCCCAGTCCACTATCCTCTTAATGTGTTTTGTAGTTGACTATAGCTGTTATTATAACATTGGTTTTGGAAATGACCTGGTTCACCATACTTATGACAGTTTTTATTATTATAATCATTTTTTTCCCCATTAAACTCACTTGAATTTCAACTTTTATATTCATTTTTTTGTGTTTGATCTAACTCATATAGGTTAATGGAACCACTACAAATTATTAAACACCTAAATCTTAAATCAATAGATGACTAACAGAGGGTGTACCATCTGTATAATAGTTTAACGCTGGCATACGATTCCAACCCAAACCTATTGCCAATTAAAAAATAAATTGTACAGCAAAGTGCAAAAATAAGATTAGTGAAACAATTTACGTGAGGCTATAGAAAAAGAAATATTCTTTAAGAACTTCGTAGTCAAAAATAACTCAAAAAAAAAATAGTTGCTGAATGTATTAATATAAGTTACAAGATAAAATACTTTCCTGTTCCAGAAGTAAAGCTGCTAAAATATTAAAGTATTTATTGGAAACTCTCAGAAGACGTCAAAAATGACAATGCTGAAAGCTTGGAGAAAGCAGTAATAAGGTTATTTTACAACAAAATAAGTGATGACAAAGAAAAATCAGATAGTCTTATGTAAGATAGAGAGGACCTAGAAAAACAATAACAGGTAAACAATATTTTGTAACTTGTAGATACAGCAGGATGCAACAATAAAAAAAGAGCACGCGAGAAAGTTAATTGAGTACAGCCTTACGTATTTGGCCTTGATGAAAAGCTTGTCAAGGCAACACACCTTCTGGAGCATTGAATAATAATTACATGAGATAAACTTATCGTAGCAAGAAGATACGGATGTCCGTCGTCGATAAGGGATTAAACTAAGATTAAATACAAAAAGTGGTCGAACAACAGATAATGTAATCCCCACACAGCTTGAACTCATGAATAGTAGCAAAACAACTAGGGCCAAACCACAAAAAGAGGGTGAGAGTAGTCACAGATTTTTGTCTACTTACCGATGTTACAGTGGATTCATGAGCTCGTCGTTATCTCAGTTAGTTAACGTGCTAGCCACTAATACAACAAAGCTCAAAGAGTCGTGGGTTCAGTTCCAGCTTGGGGCACTCAGATTTTTTCTAATGGTCTTTTCCGGAATCTAATTCATGAAACAAACTTAGAATTATTAATTAGTTTAATATTATAACCCACAGTTCTCAACCCAATGTATTAAAAAAATGTAATACTACTGTAATTATAAAAGCCTTTGAGAACTTTATTAAGCCTACAAATAAATACACTACGCAAGTAGGTATTGAGTTAAAAAAAAGACAGAGGATTCATGTTACCCTCTGCAATTTTAGAACTGCATTGGAGAGAACCTAGCTAGCATTGCCACGTTATATTACAGTAGTGGACACCGTGGATCAGGATTTTCTAGTACAAAACATATAAAGATAATGCATGAATAATAAAATTTTCTAGAACAGGCGAGCGTTATCGATTCGAAAGAATATTAATGGAAAACAAGGATTTTCCAGACACATTTTTCAAGGGAATCGCGCGAGTAACGGCAGATTAAGAAATGCTGCAGATGACTTATAAAACTATTGAAATAGCTGGCAGCTGTAAATCTGACAATTAAACCCAAAAAGTGTCAATTTTTTAAGTAAGAAGCAAAAGTTCTGAGTTACATCATAGGCAATGGACACATTAAGACCAACTCAAAAAAATTAAAGCGGCCAGAATCTACCTTTGACCAACAAATGTAAAGAAGAAAAAAAAGTTTAAGGATCTATAGGCTACTACAGATGGTTTATCAAAAACTATATACAAATTGCCCAATCATTTTTAAGGTTCTTAAGAATGGGCACTACATTTAAATTTAAATGGGCCAACCAAGAGAAGCAGGCGCTTTAAATCCTTGTAGACACACTTCGTAGTGCACCTGTACTTATTG